CAATGGATGTGTTTCAAACACAGTGAGTGTGAAGCCAAATTTGTGAGTCAAACCTATTTAAATTCGTTAGGGCAAAGAACTAAGGAAAAAACCCGGCAGTGAAGCCGTCTATAAAATCAAGACTCTCCAACGTACTTGGTCTGAGTTTGGCTTACGGTGGTCACACCTGGAGTAAAGGTCCACGGAATGGAGATATTCCCAAGTTCCTTGACAACCCACCTGCCTTAAACCACAACAGGCACACCGAATTCCTGTACAAGGCCGCAGAGGCTGCTCCCAGAAGTTCCCGTACCACCCCGACTCCACTAGATGGTGCTCCTGCCCTGGTCTTGGCCCTTTCCCTATACTCTGAGGACAGCGGCGACAGGCCAAAGTGTGCTTCTCCTGGGGCCGTGAAAGCCGACGTGTGAGCGAAGGCAATCACATGATGAAACGAGCTCTCAGTGTTCCAGCGTCTCCAGACATACTGTGGCTGCTGTTCCTTAGTCCCGGGTGATAAACATCTGCAAAACTGCCTCCTCAATTTTTATTACAAAGTAGGGAGAATGGCTCTGAAGGTACAGCAGGAAGGGAAGCCTTACTTCTGGTTCATCAAGATCAGCAATCACTACAAAGGCAGGTGTGGAAATACACTGATGTACATTACAAATAGATGTCACATCACCCAATAGAGGGCAGAGGGACGGAGGAGCTTCTGCCTCCCCAGAGTTCAAGTCCAAATGGCTTAGCTGCTCCTTGTACATCATCTTCCAAGTGCGTGGTCTGGCTGGATTGCAGATGCCCGGGCTCAGAGCCAAGACCATGCAGTTTAAAAACTCAGTTTATGGATTGCCAAGAGAACTGTGCTGGGTCCCTGGGATGGCAGGGGTGGTGAGAGCAATTTCAAACTGGGCCTCCCCAAAGTCAAAGCCTCAACCCCTCCCTCTGTCCACTAACTAGGCCAGTTTTCACTCTGGCAGGGCCCTCAATCCTTTTATGAAGGGGTCATAGATTCCCCTTTCCTTGAAAACCCAGGGCCCCTGTTTGGCCCAGAGGGTTTGGAGCAATGGAGATCCCACCAAAAGTGTGAGATCAGTACCCAGGAAACATATGTTAAAAATCTGTGACAAGTAAGAAACATTTCCCCAAAAGGGATCTATGCGACAGATGTGCCTGAAAAGACCAACACTGCTTCAGAAACAGGTGGGAGGTAAGTAAGGGAGGAGGAAGAGAACACCTACAGAAAAGGGGAAGATGACGGAAGACAGTCCAAATGACAAGAAACAAAGATAGGAAGTACACAGGGCAAGAAAACCAAAGGTGGGGTTAACACTGACCAGGTTTCAGTTCTTCTGGGAAATTCTGAGCGTTATTTATGTCTTGCCATGAGACTACGGAGACTAGAGCTGGTAGGGCCTGTGACAGATGAACACATACGCTAACCAGTTCTTTCTGGTACTTTCAGAGATTAGTCTCATTAAACAGAATGGCTTTAAAATAAATTCCAGAATTCCCTGGGTAGTGGTACAGCCTTAATTCAGGGTTGGTCAGAAAAGGAAAAAGGCCCTGGTCCCTGAAAACAGGAGTCTTACAAGGACAAACATACCAGGGACATCTCTAGGGTGGCATCTGCCCACTCTGGCTAGGCAGAATGGAGGCTCGGCTAGCAGTTGCTAATGTATTTCTAAGAAGGGAAGAGAATCAATTATGAATTAGAGATGCCAAACCTAGCGACTATAATAGACAAATCAGTAACCTTAGCCCACAGCTGCTTTCTAAAGGGCTAAGGCCCAGCAAAGCCTGGGCATGGGCACTGGGCTGCAGTCTTGGAACTTTAAAAGGCAACCATTCTACTAACTACTGAAAAAAAAAATCGGTGACTAGGGTCTTCAGTTTCAAGACTGACCACTCCCAGGGAGTAACAGTGGCCTCACTTTAGAAAGGAGAAACACCCAACAACTATAATGTGGAAAATCTTACTCGTGTCAGCAACAGCGCCAATGCCTCTGTTTCCTCTAGGTAGCTGCTTCCGGGGGAAGGACGACAAGTATTAGCAGTCACTTATCTGCATGTCGTTTTGGGGCGGGTGTCGGGGAGTGGGGTGGAGCTAGTAGCAAGAGCATGTGACTCCACCTACTAGAATGGGTGCAGGAAAAGAAGGCCCCTTGCCCCTCCTCCCTGCTTGTGCTCCGGCCTACCTATTAGGAGCCAGAAAGGCCGGAGCATACAAAGGTGGGCAGCCCTGTCCGCGAGCTCACTGTGAAAGCCTTCCCGGCACGTATCAGCTACGCAGGCAAAACCACCAAAACCACTCTTTTCCTCCCCTTTCCCTCACATCAGCTCCTCCCCAAGTGAGTGAGAGAGAGAGAGAGAGAACAGGTACTTGGTTCATTTCCTAAGCGCCGCACATCTTGGTAGCACGAGTTTCCCCTCCAAGTTGTCACAAGAAACAGAGCAGGTCTGAAACTCCCACCAGGTTGCAGATCACAATTACTTCTGAGTGGTCTTCACAGTTAAGACGAGCATACATTTCAAAGGGCGGCGTTCAGGTCCCCCTCTCTCTTTCGCGCACACTCACTCACTCACTCACACTCTCACGCGGTGGGAACGCTGTTCAGCCGCCGGGCTTGGCTGGCTCATGTCAGATACTGCACCACAAGGAACATGACCACACAGGTGAGCAGCATCCCCCCGATCATAAAGTACTTGTCCTGGAAAGCCCGCTTCTCAATGAGGCGCATCACTGTGTTGGACAAGCCCAGCATGTTGGCAATGTCAAGGATCTTCTTCTGAGTCCCCTAGGGCAGACAAGAAGACAAAGAAAAACAAAGATCAACTCGTGTTGCCAAGGGTGGGTGAACATCATCATGAGATGGCGCTTCACCAACAGTCTCTTGGTCATGCCTAAAGCACATAAAAAGCAGCGGCAAGCAGAGAGAGGTCACTCTCATGTGGTCAAAGGCCTTTGGATCAAGGTCCCAGAGCAAAGCAAGGGAGAAAGAGAAGTCTTTTCTACAAATGTGCCGGAACAACAGGCTATATAATGAGTATCACATATATGTACCACATACATACACACACATATATGTCAGTATATATAATATACATGTATGTGTTAAAAAATGATCTTTGATTCCTACTACAGATAAAAATTAATTCAAGATAGGTCATAGAATTAAAAGCTAAACCTATTAATAAAGCTTCTAGAAGAAAACATAGGCAAATATCCCCAAACTGGGAATAATCCAGGTGTGTCTCATCCAGGGGATGAGTGAACAATTTATGGTATATGTACAATGGGATACACGTACAACACTGGGCAGTATAAAGGATCTGATTACAGCACGTAGCAATGTGAATGAGTCTGGAAAACATCCCCGAGAGGAAGCAGTCACACACAAAACAGTAATATGAATGCACAAAGTTCAACAACAGGCAAAACTAACATATGGTGAAATAAATCAGAACAGTGGTTGCCTTGGTGGGGAAAGGCAGGCGTAGACTGACTAGGAAAGGGCACCAGGGACCTTTCAGGGGTGATGAAGATGGTCTAAGCCTTGACAGCAGTGTAAGTTACAAAGGCTACGTATGCATTTATCAAAATTCAATGACTGTACAATTAAGATCTGTGTACCTCACTGTATGTACATCATACTGCCATAAATTTTTTTCAATTACAATATTATATGTTTTAAAAAAAGGACAACATCAAAAAAACTTCTCTTTGCTCCCTGGCTCTAAAATGCTTGCTATCAGCCTGTGCACTTTGTAGAGGAGAAACCTCAGGGATTCTACAGAGGACAACGTATGGCTCGGTGTCTACATTTATGAGACGATTTGAAGAGGGCAGGATGGAACTACAGACACACAACTAACAGACACCAACACAATGAACTAAAACCCCTTATTATAAATGTCACCATCTACCATCCAAAAAAAAGGGCATTTTATTCCTAAACCAGTAGCTGAAACCATACAGGCTGCCCTTCCTCTGGGATTTCTTATTTTCATTTTTAAGCACATTCCATTTCTTACGAAATAATAAACATAAACAAATGCTGGGCAGACCCCAGCTTACACACACATCACCAACTGCATTTGTACAATGGCATCTAACCTAATGCCTCATATCCATCTTTTAAATGAACAACAAAGTAATGAGCAACCGAGAGAAGAGGCAAGAGAAGTGAGAACAACTTCAGGCATCGTGGACAGGAATTCAAGACCCATGTTCTGCCCTGATGATGATTATCAAGCCTCATCAAGCGAGATCTCTCAAGTCAAACTTTATTTCTACTGGAGGAGACCTGAGACACGTTTTTCCTATAACAGTGATAAAAATTATATTCTTGCTAAAGAGTCTGCTTAGCTCTGAAAGTCCAGACTATTTCTTCACTTTATGAAGTTCAAGTGAGCAAGCTTCTAAAATCACCTGAAAACTAACAAATTTTGAAACACGTATTCATTTTCAACCACAAATTTCCCCAAATCAAGGCTCAGCTCCTTCATGCTCCCTCCTAGTCTCCTTTCAAATGGTTTACACAGAAACTTCCTGGACAGAAGTGGGGTGGGAGGCAGGTGGAGGGAATCAACAGACAAAAGACAGGCAGGAGGTGTGCAGAGGAAATGGAATTAGAAACTATCTATTCCCACTCCAACTGCCTGCCAGGCTTTTCCGCGCTGTCCTTCTGGGGACAGGGTTGGGGCAGAAGTTGCTTGGACTCCTCAGGGATACCATACTTCGGCAAGAAGCTGACATCTGCTTTAATAGTAAGCTCTGACTTCCACTGGGCTGACATGAGTGTGACATGAGTCTTGTCCTAAAAGGGTTTTATTGTTTTTCTGAGATATGGGAAGGAGGCCAGTAGTTTTCTAAAGGAAGGATTGATCATCGTGTATCAGTTTAGATTACTACAGGTGACTCTTCTGAAAGGGGGGCACCCACGACGCTGCTGCAGAGCACGCTTCCAGACCACCTGAAGCACCGCAGCCATCAGCAAGAGATGAGCATTGCTCGTGCCTCGCCTGACGTTCTCCCTGGCAGAGACGGCAGGGGCTGCTCAGAAATGGACTGAAGTCCTGCGGAGCTGACAGGCTCAACGTGGGCCAACAAAAACCAAGATAAAGCTCATGCTTCCGACTGACTGTTTCTCACAGCTCAGTGGCTGGGAGTGCATCGTTCACAGGGGGTCACACCCTGACAATAGGCATAGCCCACACCCCACTATCCATCAGGGTTGATACAGGAAAAGGGCTGAGGCTGAAACATCACGACTGACATCAGAGGCTGTGTAATGTTTCTGTAAACCACTCCCAGGAGGTTTGAGTCCCAGCCAACGGGCAGGGCTTCTAGGAATACCTGTGACTAAACGGAGGAAAGAGTCACTGGGGATCAGCAGCATGTGCTCTGGAAGCTATGTGCTGCTGGTCAACCAGGGTGGCTCTAAGACCCCCAGCCCACAGGGGCTTCAGTTACTGCAGTACAAAAAGGTCTCAGTTACAAGGGAGTCCACTGCAGAGGCCACACAGAGAGTGAGAGGCCAATGACAGCCGTGTCTTCCTTCTTACTAGAGCAGAGTCTGTAACAGAATTTCTCAGTCCATTTACTGCTTCCTCTCATTGCAGCAGTCACTTTCATAAGTTTGGAAAATGAAAAAGACCTGGATACCAAGACATGCCACATTATGATTCACTGCAAGCATGAGAAATATCTCCTGACAAAGGGAACTGGATTACTTTCGGACTCACAATAATTCAATTCCAACAGAAAGGAGATCCCAAACTCAAAGGCTCTGTCTCATCACCACAATATCACAATTCAGGGATATGTGATCAAAATGTAAAGGCAGGTCCCAAACCGCTGGATAAGGCCAAAACAAAAGGCCTTCCCCCTGTCCCCCAAAGAGCCCCCACCTTCAAGGTCAGTCTCTGGGCCCTCAGTCCGTCCAGAATACTGTGTCCGCCTCCAATGAGGTCATCCATGCCATGGTGAACTTTCTGGAGGGAGGAGTTAAACTGCAGTGATTCATCCATTGGTATGGTGGTGTCAGAGTCCTGTGAAAGAAACGCAGGCACTTGATTAACTTGGCTTCCCGATCAGCTCCTGGGCTCCCACCACCTGACTGCTCTGCTTTGTGGCCAAGGCCAAGTCAGAAGGACAGACAGAGGGAATGGGCAGGAATCTGAGGAACCTAATGGAGATGAAAAAGCAAAGCAAAGATCTGGGGTGGCCTCTGTTCACTCGGGGAAGAGGTGCTCTCCTTAGGTTTATCATTGTCCGAACGAATTCCACTATACAAGTCTTGTTCACCCCTGCCTCTGAATTCCCACCTCACTGGGCTTCTCCTAGAGACTTTCCCTGACTACTCGCTAACCCAGCTTGTTCCAAATGCTCCTTTACTTGGCTTCTCCCCAAGGCAGTATTACGTGTTTGCCTTTGTCCTCTGGCTATTTTATCCACAGCTTTTCCCTCTGATTAGACTGAGACTAAGGAGAGAAGAGACCCGGTTTTCTATTAAAGGCCTAACAGTGTTCAGGACGGGACTATACACCTGAGCAGAGAAGAAAAGTCTGTAAAGAAATGAAGCAAGAAAAAACTAATCTTGATCAGGTGCTTTCCACATTGCGTGCTCTCCACCCTAAGCTCACTTAATCCTCATTCTAACTTTATGCAGAAATTATGATAGTATCCCCACGTTAGATGAAGAAACTGAAGCCCAGAGGTGGAGTGAGTTGTCCAGGACCAGGCAGAGCTCGTAAGTGGCATGAGTCCCACTGCTGAGCGTAGAGCCTGCCCTCTACTAACCATCCGGTATGAAGAAACACCAAGGCCAACCCCAGCGCTCCACTTTCACACTGCAAGTGGAAAGGACGCTGAAGCAGGTCACGACCAGCCACAGTACTGTCTTTTTTCCTTCCTCCAGACATCACAAACTCTCCTGCCAAGCAGCACTGTTTTTCCATCATCACAAAGAGGTTAAACCACCTTTTCTTTGCTACTCAAGTTCAGAATCATGTTTCATGTATACATTTTCAATCCCTCCTGCTAACATGGGAGTTTCTCACAGGGAGTCTTGTTTTTTTTCATTTAAACACGCTTTACTCTCAGGACCTTAAACAGCATTCTGCATAAGCAGATGATCACTGGGTCAAGACTCCAGTGTTCGAATGAATCAACTAAAGACTTCTTTTCATTGATTTGACAAACGTTTATGGAACACGTTTTATATACAAATCCTCCCTACTCTCCCCTCTGAAAGGGTACCACTGAGGGGCTATATCTCTCAGAAAAAATGTCTTATAGCTCCAGATCGTGGAATGACCAGGAAGAAGCTTATTCAGTCAGTTTTTATTAAGGGCCCACTGTATGCACAGCATCACACCAGGCTGGTAAAAAACAGAATAATTCTGGGTGATCATCCCTGGCCTAAAAAAGGCCTGAATGACCAATGTCACAACTATCAAAAGCCCACACAACACCTTTTAGTGTGTTGCGTGGTGCCTCACACTTTTGAAAGGTGGCTATGCTTACCACTCTACCACCAACACATCCTCATTACACCTCTCAACTGTTAATCATCATTACTTGACTGCTCACGCTAAAGAAACCAAAACTATGCAGGCATATTCTGAAGCTCTTGGGGAAATTTACTGCAAGTGTGGACACAGCAAAGAGAGTTAAACATCTGCAAAGTGGAAAGTGATTTGAATTCTGATGGCAGATTTAGAAAGCTAACATCTCTTTACAAAACATAAACTCTGTAAAAACAAAACAATTAAATAACAAAAAAAAACCCTAAAACCTACCTAATCTGGTAGAATATATTATACAGGACACAGAAAAGGCCAGTATGTTCTACAGCCATGTGCAGGAAATAATCCTACTGAAATCTAAGGACAGGGACGCTGATGCTCTAAGAAACCAAACGTGCAAACCAGCAGGACACTTTCAAATGGGCTCAAGTCAAGCAATCCCTCTAAAACAAAATATCTGTTAACAAATTCCTCCAAATGCTGCTCAGACTAGAGTAAAAACATTTTAATGCATCTGGCGCTGGAACCACACACATACACAGCACAATGGCAACTGCCTGAAGGCAGCTTTGAAATGCTGCCCTCACTAAAAACAGTCTAAATTCTAATCATCTGTCTCGATCTGGTCAGAAAAACACTTCCACCATGTGAACTTCCACCTCTCTGCATCGGACCAGTCAAACCAGGTAATTTGCACCTCTGCCCATTCCCTCAACTGAATGGCTTCCTCTTCAGGTTTCTCTGTCAGAGAAAGAGATCCCCTGTTTAGGTCTAGTCTCTGCAGCAACACACAAAGTCCACTGTCACTCCCAGTTGGTCCCCTCCTGCCTGATCAGTCTGCTTCCGACACCCCCTAAATGGACAATGCTCAGAGACCTGAGCTCCAGCTCCAACAAGCTGTCAAGTTCCTGCAGACCCTGCCCGGGCGCCTGGCTTACGTTAGTGGTGAAGGTGCGAGACAGAAGCTCCTCTCGCTGTCTCTCCTGCTGTTCCCTTGTATATCGCCGATGCTGGAAGTTTCTGAGAGCAGTCTGCAGGTGCTGGACATCATACTTTAACTGGTCGACACGACTGGAATTGATAGAGAGATTAAATTCCAGGAGCCCAGAGCAGCACAACTGAAGGCAGCCAGACTTTGTAACAGGAAAGAAGACATTTCCTTACTTCCCCATGCTATCCACCCCCACCCCTGCCAAATAATCTGATTTTGATCAACGATGTTGAAAGTAAAGAAATAGCTTGCGGTTAAAGCAGGGTTGTAGCACATGAGATTCCAGCAGCTTTACTTAAATATCTGCTGGTCCCTGATTCTGGATGCATGACAGGGAACAGGTGACAGGAAGCAGGTTCGATGACCTCTTCCTGACCTTCTAGGGATTATTTCACTCTCCTGGAAGAAGCCCAAGGGCATCTTTGGAGTAAAGCATCAACGAAGTTTCATAAAACTTTTGGGAGCAGGGGCTGGGGTGGATGTGGTGAGAGTGCTTTCATTTTAATTTCATGGGGGTGTATCAAACATTAGATCAGTATTTCATTAAAAATAGACTGACTAAGGTGATTAAGAGCAAGATATTTCAACCAAAGAATGCAGTGGGAACCAAAGAGAGTGAAATTCCCTAGCAGCATTAGGTTTCAAGCGGCCATGGGTCTGGTCAGAAAAACAGGTCTGGGGGCAAAATTTCAAAATGACACCAATGAGAAGACACAAGTCTTCTGAGCCTCTAACATCAGAAGCTATTTATTTTTTTCTTAAAAATTGAAGTATAGTTGATGTACGGTATCATATACAATATGGCGTACAATATGGTGATTTACAATTTTTAAAGGTCATACCCCATTTACAGTTATTATAAAATATTGGCAGGGGGTGGGTATAGCTCAGTGGTAGAGCGCGTGCTTAGCATGCACAAGGTCCAGAGTTCAATCCTCAGTACCTCCATTAAAAAATAATAAAACAAAATATTAGCTATATTCCCTGTGTTATACAGCACAGGCTTTTTATTCTGAGGGAGTATCACTCAAACAGAATTATGCTCTTTATAGACTTTATCTTTGCATAGTCTCAGTTTTTCAACGTGTAAACGGATTTTCAGAATGTTTGACGGCCTTGCTGGGAGAAAGGCCTGATGTGATAGGCCTGGGGTGTCAGAACACTCACAGTTTGGCATTTTGTCTTTTGTTAGGGGGCTCCTTGCTGGACAAAATCTCCAGGCGCTCTAGATGGATGAATATCTGGTCTAAGCTTGCTTGGATTTCGTTTTCTACTACTGCACAAAAGAGAAAAAAGAATAATTGCTGGAAAAGAGATAGTGGACTTAAGTTAGAATGACAAATCAAACATACCTTTTTTCCCATATCCAGTAAACTCAAAAATATGTATTTCAAAAGGAGGAAAATACACATGCTAATGATGATGGAGAAAAATTCAAATTATACTAAGTGACTTTGTAAACACTGTTTCAAAAAAATATATTTAGAGCTGCCAGTGCTATAACAATGCCAATTTTTTAAGAAGCTGAAGATAAACCTGTTGAAATAAATCTCCTGCCTTTAGAAAATAAAACGAACACTTAAAGATTGTCCAAATAAATACTTTAAGTGAAATGTGGTATTTTCTGACACAGAATGAGGTCTCTTTTCCTTTGAGAGTATTCTCAGATATGGGTTATAAATATCTGGTTAAAAAAGCTGTCAACTGAACTCCCTACAAAACATGAGGTTTAAAAAAAAAAGGCGCAAAGGGGAAGATTATTATGTGAACCATAGGAAGAGTTCCCTTAAGAATGGGTAGACTGATGTTGGAGTCCTCAAAATAGACCAAATATCAATAGGAAAAACCCAGGAAAGAATCCATAGAGGTACAGATATGATAATACAGCATTTTCCTTAACCCTTTTGATAAACAGTCAAAATGACCTCTTTTCCATTTCTAATCATGAGACTGCTGGGAAGGCACACAAAGTCAACGGATCCAAGCTAAACTGGGCACGCAAAAAAAAGGCATCCAGATTGCCTCTTGCCCAATAAAGAAATGACAGTAGAGTTGGGACATGTCACCTTCCTAGGTAGCTGACAGCTAACAAATACAGTTCAGAACAAGGTGGGGCACAGAACCAAGAGAAGAGGTGCTTTTGGAGCTGCAGAAAGGAGACAGGAGAAAACTGAAGAAATGGGCACACGACCGTTAAGGGCTGAAAGAAGACAGCTTCCACGGGGGGTGGGGACCAGTAGAGCCTGTGGGGCCGACTCAGAGAAAGGACCTTTCCTCCTACAAGAGAAGAAACTAAAATGCAAAAAGCAGCACCCTGCTCAAAAGAATCCATGGTGTGGGAACTAAACTAATTAATATTGCTGTTCGTTTCGGAATAATCCTCCTAAAAAGCCACAGTTCTCAGCTCAGAAGAAATGACCAATTCCAGTTAAACATCTCTGAATTTTATGGACTACATTCCTCTAAGGACTAGGTAATTAGATTAAGACAGATGGAGGAAAGTACTTCCATTCCCATAGGGCCATGTCAGGTTGAGTGGAGGGGTAATGGGGGATAAGACTTGCAGGATTCCAAAGGGCGGAATCAGGGAAATCAGTGACTTTGCCATAGGGTTTTTCTGTCCACCCTAACAACAGAACTCATTCCATGCTGAATCATGAAGCCCCTGAGGCAGAAATGCAGTCAGGAAACCCAGCCCATTAGCACCGTGTCATCAGAGAAAGGACTCTGGTCTCCATAGTTAATTACTCACAGTGCAGAGACTGCTTGTCTGCCGTCTCCAGGCGTCCCATGTGAGACTGGATCTCGTGGACCTGCCTATCAAAGGAAGAGGGAGGAAATGAGTGAGACAGGAGTAATCAACAGTGCTTCAGTCAGGAAAGACAATTTTTCTAATGCCAACATCTAACTGATTCAAATTGACAGCATCGCTGAACTGTAAAATTTGTAGGTGGCACTTTAGGGCACATGTTTTGGCAGGGCTTCTAATATTTGAACATTAATATTAATAATAATCCTGACAGGAAGCATTCAGTAGTGCTTACCACTGAGACCTTCTGCTAAGTCAACAACCCTATGAGGAAAGTACTATTATCATCCTCATTTTGTAAATAAGACAACTGAAGCCCACAAAGGTTATGTAACTCAGTCAAGGTCACACACCAAGTGACGAACCTCAATCAGCACTCAGCCAATCGCACTCGCTGCTCTTTGACCCAATGTGCTAAGCACTGGTCTGTACTAGGGAGCATCAAAGGGCAAGAGAGATATAATCCTTGCGCTTGAGAAACAGTGTAATTAGGAACGACAAGCCAGACAGACACGAAAAGCCCCAAGAAGATTTAAGAGAACACTAACACATACAAGCGTAAACAAAAAGGAAGCTGAGGAGCTACGCACAGCAGGGCTAAGTGAAGGCAAGTGAGTAAAGGAGTAGGCTGGGGGAAGCTCTGTGGGCGAAAGCAGTTCTGAATCATTTTGAAGAAGGGAGATGTGCTTTGGTGAAGGAAGAGGTAGAGAAAATGATATGCAAAAAGGCATGTAAGGCATGTCGGTGTGGGGCACCAGCAGGCTGGCCTGCCTGAAGGGGAGAAGGGGATGAGGAGATTAGTGGAGGAAGCCATCAGAAGAAGGCCCTGTAAGATAGGGATCTCCTGTTTGGTAAACAGCCTGCCCTGGCAATACGAGGCAACAGCCATCTCATTTGGAAACGCAATACGGTACCTGGGACCTCTGGCATGGTTCTGATTATCAGGCCCCAGAGCCCTCTCTGGCGTCTCCCCAGGGCTTGGCTGTGATCGCCTTCAAAGAAGCCCTTCCAAGCATCCTCTGTGATCAGTTCTTGGGATATTATTTATCCTGCCCCAACAACTGACTCTTGGTGCTCTGGTCTCTACATGTGAGAGCCACATGAAAGAGTTCACTCCTGTGAGCTGTTCTATCAGCTCCAACCCTCGAGGGAACAGTCAGCAATCATTCTTCACCAGGAGCAGCACAAACTGTGACCCCAAATTTACTAATGCATGCCAGGAGTCCAAATTTGGTTTGAACCTGCCTCTGGTCTTTTCCAGGACTTCCCTGTGGCCTCTAAACATGATCCATGGCCCCAGAAGCCAGGGCAGCTCTAATGACCTCAGAGTGCTCCTGGGCAAGACCCCATGGTCCTGAGAGGCAACTCAAAATCACTGCTAGAACCTGAGAGACCAAACTGCAACTTCAGGAAGGCAAGTCCGAATACTTTCGAATGGAGACATGTGGAGATATGGAGGCAGATGTAGGAATGCAGCTTGAAGAAACCAACATCTGGATCAGGGTAACCGTGGAAACAGCTATAGTGGATTGACTAGCAAAATGACAGGAAAGAGAATTAAGACTACACTGAAGGCTGGATGTGGGCAGTGAGGTAAACTTCTAATGGTGGTGGGAAAAGAATGGACTACAATAAATGCTGATGGCTTAGTTAGTTATCCATATAAAAAAACACATCTCATGTAACACACAAAGATAAACTCAAGATAGCTTAAAGCCTAAATGTAAAAAGCAAGACTTGAAACTTTCTGAAGAAAATACAGGAGTGCATATTATGACTTCAAGTTAACAAAAGTGTCCTTAAACAAGACAAAAACTGAAACTACCCCCCCAAAACCCTACAAATCACAAAATAAAAGACTGATAAACCTGACTACTATAAAACAAAAAGCCTTTTTACACCAAAGGCACAACTAAACAACAACAACAACAACAACAACAGGCAGAGACTGGAAGATAACTGCCGCAGATAACAAAGGACTAATATCCAGAATATATAAAGAACTGCTACAGATCAACAGGAAAAGTCAAACAAAGCAATTTTCAAAACTGGCAAAGGACAGCTGACAGAAAAGAAAACCCAAATGGTCAATGAATATATGAAGAGACACTCAACTTTACTAGTACTCAGGAAAATGCAAAATAAAAATGACATCATACCTCTTCCATTAGATTGACAAATATTTTAAACTTTAAGGATGAGGGATTCATGGCAGGCAAAACAATGTAACCCAAGGGATCCTGAGGAAGACTTCCAGGTTCTACTACAGGACTGCCTTTGGCTCTGTGTTTTAGTCAATATTTTTCAAAAATCAACTGATGATTATGAAATTTGCACATGATTCTGTGCTCTAGTGAATGGTTAGTGTGATTATGCTATAAAAAGCAAGTATTAACATTTTCCATTTAGGCTAAAGTAGTATGACGAAATTTGTCAGGGATAAGAAGCATTCTGACTTGAGATTAAAAAAAAAAAGGTCAAATACACAATTATAGAATGGCATTCAATTTTGGGAGCCATCTGCTAAAGGTACCCTACCAATTAAAGGTTTCCCCCAATGAACAGGATGAACAGGATGACTAGGAAAGAAGTCAAGTTATGAAGAATGGTCAAAAGAGCTAGTGATAATAATCCTCTGAGAAAAGATAAGAAGAAACAAAACTAAACTAAAAGGGGGCAGCTGGTGCTCTTCAAATATCTACAGATGAGATATAGGAAGAGGGGTGGGCCTGCTCTCTGGTGCTGCTCCTTAAGGGAGACCCAGAACCAAAATGTGCAAGTTTCAAGATGACAGATTTCAGCTCAACACAGGGGAAAAAACATGAACAATTCTCAACCGTCTCTTCAAGAAAAGGAAAGAAAGAGTTCCATGTTTAAACACAGAGTATATGAACTGTCTTGGGTCTTCGAAAGGGTCTTCCTAACCAAAGTGAGTTGGAATGCCAGATCTTGCCGGTCCCTTTCAATTCTTAAATTCTGTGAGGACAGCAGGAGAGATGATGCCAATACCCACAAAACCCTATGAACACTCTTCAACTGGCTTTTACTATTTTCTAAGCTAAAATAGATAACCTTTAAATTGTAGGGAAACATTATTGACTTACATCCAACCTCTATTTGCTCTGAATGAACTGGAAAAGATATAGCTAAAAAAGTGATTCCAATCTCTACATTTCATGCCCAAGAGGAAATAAATGCAAAACAGAAGAGCAAGTATGAATGGCATGGTGGGAACTACCATATACCAAGTGGCAAATCTGTTTTATACTG